AAGCTTTCTATGCTGCATCCTTTTTGTGAGGCTTGTTTACAGTTCTGCAAGATGAACCAGTTTGTTTTACGTGGTGGAATTTATGTCGTCTTCCTGGGACCCTCTTACACACGTGCACACATGCATACACATACTCGCACACCCCTGTATCCTGCCCACCTCCGGTTTTAGAGAGAGTAGAATGGCTGGCTGTTGCATTCTTCCTTTCCGCTAGAGTCAGGTGCATTACACCCAGCAGCACAGAAGCTGACAGGCCACCCCAGCTCCCATTATTTTCCAGCTGACTCTTTTATAGCCCATGCTGTGGCCCCATTAAAGAAACAGTGAACATGAATGGGTCTTCTAACAGTTCCAACTAGATGTAGCTCCCTGCCTGAAGCTGTTGTGTCTAATATTGTGCTCAGTGATCTCTGGATTCTGTTTTAAACTGTGAAAGTAAAGGGCTTTTCTTGTCTGAGAGCCACTGGATACGAAGCAAATCACAAGATGACACTAGCCCTGGTGCCCAGGTTTTAATCCCTGCCACCCTAGAATAATCCCGAGTTTACTGAAGTTACTCTGGAGTTGCAGCAATTTAGCCAAGGGCAAAATGAGCCCCGTCACTCCCAGAAGGGTAAGGCAACTTCACATCCTAGTGGAGCTTTCAACTTGCAACCCTACAGCACACTTCAGGGGTCTTGCACAACTTACCAGTGTGACTGAGTAATTCAGCCACTCAGCACTTCTGTCTTAAACTGTTTTACTGGGATGCTGCATGCTGCTAGGACAGCTGCAACAGATGACCCCAGAGGCAGCTGCATTTTAGTCTGGGTAAAAAATGCCATTTGGTTATTGCCCTGCATTTTACCTGCTTTCTTGGGAACACGGGCTGTGACGACAAAACTCTTAGCGGTAGAAGGAGGGTTGACTTGCACTTCCCGGATTAACAAAATCAGAGATGTATAGCATAAGCTTTTGTAAGCAGCAGCTTGCTTCATCAGATGTATTTATTAACTATTTAGTTAGTGTGTAAGGTGCATATCTACCCTGCCTTCTATCTGACTTCAGACTAATACAGCCAAACTACCTCTCAAACTCTTATTGACTTCAGGGCAGAGTGAAGCAGCCTTGTCCTGGATTTCAGGCCTGCTGATGCTTTATTCCAGGTTACACAAACTGTGCCCTCAGTGTTTTCTCCTTTCTGAATGATCCAAATTGGTCCCAAAGTCCAGCTCCCTGTCTTCTCAACACTGATCACTGTGCTGTCCCCATGTCCCTGGTTTTCTTAACTTCAGGTTTACATTGGATTTATTTAGTCTTACACTTTGTCTGGATTTGGAATAATGTATTTTTAGTTACTGAAACACTTCTGAAGGGACTCATTCTCCCAAGATGGAGAGAAAAATGCCCTTGAACTGTGGATAGGACTACAGTGCCAGGGAATGGTTCATCTCATTTTGGGTGTCTCTGGGCCCAGTGGGAAGGTTTTTGCTACTGTAATGAAGAAGATTCCCTGAAATATTCTTTCAGTCATTGGGTTGGAGGTGCTGTGGGTCAGAGGAGGATGAATACATTAGTAGAGAGTTTGACACAATTTGGACATTGATGTCTTTTCTCTCAAGATGGCGTTTTAGATGGTTACACTGCATCCCTGGTGTGGTTGAAACCATGTTAGCTTTGTTCAGATGCGATGGTGGATCCCAGAAGGGGATCACAGAAGGTGGTGGCATAATTCCTATTGACTTCCACGGCAGTCGGACTGGGCCCTGTGCTAGTGGTGGAAGGATGTAGCCCTTAAGAGGAAAAGCGGAGTGCTATTATTGTTGTTTTCCTGGGAAGCTTCAGTGTGTGCATTATAGAGCAAGAGGTGACTGGGCTAATTATTCAGTTGGTGTAAATGATGTTGCTTTATTAAAGACAGAGGAGGAGAGATGGGTTACCCCAGTTGGGGAGCTAGTCTGTGATACACACTACAAACACACACACACACACACCACACACTCCCTGCAGCTGATCCCTTAAGTAACTATTCTGTTGTAAATTCCTTTCCCCGGGGGTCTGTGCACCACGCTGACTCAAACACCCGCTTACTTGAAGCCTGGTCTGTGGACCATCAATCCAGATGCGATTCGTCTTAACAAACGGTCAGCCCGTTCTGAGCCCCTGGCTCTGTGTAGATCCTAGTCACTTCACCCTGCAGCTCATTGCATGGGGTGCATTGGCTTTTCACAGGGTTTGTGTTCATAGGTAGCATAGCACCCTTGTCGGTGGGACTGCGCAGGGCCTTATAATACAAAATCACTCTGTTTAAAGGATGCCTCAGGGTGAGACTAACGGTGGAGTCTCTTATGTGACAACAGCCCTCCTCTGTGAGCTGTAGTGTCCCTACGCATTGTAAAAAGAGCATGTAGTGTCCCATGGACTCAAGGGGATGGGTGCGCTCTTGATTTCTTTTGGGTTTTGTGTCAGAATAGTAGTGAGTAGGAAGAGATGGGAGTAAGCGCATAGTTGCCGGCATGTCTTTGGTGATTCTGTAGGTCTGTGAGTAGTGTGGCGGAGTCCGATCTACACCCACGGAAGTAACTGCATGCAATATTAAGGTCCTCTCTTGCTTTGCTGCACCCAGATTCCTGTCGGCCTGTGAGAGGGGATGGCCCTGTTCCAATAATATTGGAGCACCTTTTGGTCCTTGTGTATTCCTACTGCAAGCAGTGTCCTGCACTACTGTCTGAGCCTGCTTCCACAAGCATCAATGGCAAAGCCCCCCCTTGATGCCAACAGGGAGAAAGATTATGCTGTCTCAACCCTCCCGGTACGTTGTCTCAGCCTCTGAGGTCAGGCCTCAATTCTGTGATGTACTTCAGTACCTGCTAACATCAACAGCCAGCGGACTCAGATAGGCCCATGCTTGGCTCAGTTGGAGCTTTAACACGGCTTCTTTAAAAACAAAATTGAATTTTCAAGAGTGTGTAAATGCAGGGTTTCCTTGAGATGGGTCTGACTGGAGAGCTGGGACCTTATTTCCAGAGAAGCTGTGAACATGCACATTGGCCATGAAGTCAATGGAGTTTATATCTCAAAGGGGCACCTAAAATCAATGGACTCTCAGAAACACTAAAACCTCTCCACGCTGCAGGTGAAACCATGCTATCTGCTACCATGTTGGCAGACTAAGAACTACATTCACACCTGCCTCCCTTCACTGCTGAATTACCTGTGCGTTGTAAACAGCTTTTAAGAGCTACCCCCTCTACTGTGGCTGGAGGGAGATAGGCCAATCTCAGCATGAACAAGAGATTACTTCTGTGGGCGTAGATGAGACCGTTGAAATAGGATCACTGCAGTAGTTAGTAGCGCCATTAGCAGGGTTTAGCAATGATTAATTTTGCTTGTGGGCACTATCAGCGTGCTTGGAGCTGTACAGGTATAGATGAAGTTACAGTCCCTACTCAAGGGAGCTCCCAGGTTGACCCACTCCCCGCGGTTGTTGGATAAGTCAAGGGGATGTATGCTTTAGTGCCTCTCTACAAAAATGGGATTGCCGTGTTCTGGGCATGGGGGTCACTGCTGGAAAGTCTCCCCAAGTGAGGTCCTAGAAGGGGAGAGTCATTAGAGAGATGGAAACAAATAGACTGCCAGGAGCGCAGCACAAACAGTCGAGCAACTCCTCCCCTCCTTGTCCTTTTCCGTGGGAGATGACAGCCCCACACTCATAACTTTCACCTGGGATCCTGTTGCTCTCGGCGTTAAGGGAAGAATCAAAGCTTTGTTTATACTGTGCACCCAGGCCTCGCTGCTGTGGGAGGCAGCGAGTGCTGGTTTTTTGTAAGACTACTTCAATTGACTCTTTGTGTATGCAGTGAATAAAAGACCATTCTACCTCTGCAAAGAGCTGCTGTGGTTTCTGGGACTCCTTGCTTCCTCGCAAAGGAAAATGGACTCTGTGGGCATGGGGAAAACACCCCAGGCAGAAAATACTTTTCCTCACTGCTTCTCCTGACACCTTCTAGTCCAGCTCAATATCCTCATCTGCTTCTGTAACTCTAGCCTCATCCCAAGGGTCCTGGTCTTTACTTTGTCCTCCTGGCTTCAGCACCAGTGGCATTTGAGTAATGATTTGGTCCCTACCCACTAGGGATGCGAAAGGCTACAGGCAGGACTACCCAAGCTGCTGGGTCTCCTGCCCTCTCTTCCTCAGATCCTTGCAGCATTAGAACATGATCAGGAAAGCCCCAGCCATATGTGGATGCAATTCCCCCTTGATTTAGGCTCCAGCTACCAAGTTGGTATCTGGATCTAGTGTTGGGGGTGTTTAGACCACAGGTTGAGGTTTGCCTCATCTCTGCCTCTGTTCCTTTGCCTCACCCCCCTTCAAGACAGCACATGATGTGATTTCTACTGCTCCCCTTGAAGGACAGGGCTCCAGCTTAGTTCAGGAGATCTGAGCATTAGGAGCCATTTCCTGAGATCGAGCCCCAATCCACCAGGCTTCAAGCTCATTCCACTCCTCCGAGTTGCAACGAAATGAGGTACATTGACAGCAGGAAGGATCTGGCTCATCTGGCATCACAGCTTTCCTTCAGGGGCTGGATGAGTGTTTAGACTCCCCTAGCCAAACCCTGGGCTGGGACATGCTCTAGCAAAGTCAGCCCTGCATTCAAGCCTTTTACAGGGTAGGCTCTGTGACAAGACCTGGATCTGGCAGGGACCTAATGGGATAGTGCTAAGGAGGGAGGGAGAACTTGCTACACATCGTATGGCTGAAATCTCAAGGAAGGGGAGTCTGCTCTTTGAGTTGCTTCCCTCTGCCTCCTTCCCTTGCTGTGCATGGGAAGACTATCAGTTCCCAGCAGGCCTGTTGCATTAGACCAGGCCCTGGGGAGAGAAAAGTCTGCTTCTTATGGTAAAGAAAGCACCTATCCCATCTCCCTCTGATAGGTGTGGGGCTCTAGCACTGTATGTCTCCATCCCTTCCTTGGTCTGGCAAGAGGCTGCTTTCTGTGGGAACTGCACTTGGCCTCACTCATGCCCGTAGGGGTAATATGCATTTTCATGTTAAAACAAGACAGATCTTTGTATTTAAAACCTTTTCTCCACCTTGCTTGAAGTCACTATGCATGCAAGACATCTGGGAGAGGGCCCTTGGCTTGTGGCATCCTGATCCCTACTGCCTCACTCCAGGGCACCACTTCAAGGGTTTTACATCTTTTTCCTTCCCCTGACAGCACCTCTCATTTTCCCCCACCATCATTAGGGGCCAAACCTCTTAATTTTTCTAACTACATACTGGGCTGTTGCCAGTTTTAACCAAAACAGTGGCCACCCAGGTAAGATCTGCATTAAATGCTTCTGTTCCTGTGTGTGGCTTTATTCCAAAAAGCCAGGGTAAGAAAGTGCAGTTTTTCTCTGGGTCAGAGCACATGTTTCACAGTGAAGAGTCCCCTTTGTCAGGTGCCATGCTGTGGGGGGAGCTTTGTGGTCAAGGTTAAAAAAAAAAATCAACAGTGCAGGGTGAAGTCCAGCTCATTAATATTCTGTCTGGAGAGCAGCAAGTCATTAGGTTAGTGTTCATTGACTCGGGATGAAGGGAAGTGGAGATGCCAGTATGCGATTCCCCAAAAGACAATAGTTTCATCCAAGAACAGGCCACCACCAACAGCACCTCTGTGTACCGTGTAGCCCAAACCGTCCTGGCAAGCAAGCCTTGCTGGCAAGGAGAAGACTCCCAGTCGCACACAAAAGGATGTTCTTGCTCTTGTGCACGCTGGATGCTAGGAGCCACCAAGTCTCAGCTAACCTAATTCATAAACGATCTTCGCCCAGTCCTGAAATAGGATTCAATTTGCTCCAGGGACCTGCCTTTGGTCTCTGGCACACAGCAGCCTGTGAAGATGAGGTTCATCACGCTGATGAAGGCAAAGAACAGGAACGGCACCTCAAGGCCAAAGGCCTCCTGAAAGGCAGAACAGGAATGGTATTAGCGGGGGCAGAGACGGCAGTTAAGGAAGTGTTAGCAAAATCTCGCAGTGGGGACAAAAGAAAGGAAGTGGTAGGTAGAGTCCTTCTTTCTGTGTCTCCACTTCCTGAGAGCTCGTATGGAGGGAAAGAGGACCTTGTGGGCAAGGAGGCAGGAGCTATGGGGTTGCTTTTTACTTCTACTAACTTGCAGGCCTGCCTGAGTTGCTTCCCCTGGAAGTAGGGGAGTTTCCCCTCTATAAGACAGGGAAGGTGAGGCTGGTTTCACGAGTGCTGGGAGTTTTGGGTGGTACATGGCCCTACGAATACACCATTGGGCCAAGGGTCGGACTGAGTTCTCGATAGCGAGACCGCGGGCTTCCCCTTCCTGCTCAACAGGACAGCGCACGGTTCTTCCTTTGTCTGGACGTCAGATCAGTGGGTGTCTTATGTCAACAACCCATTGACATTTTGGGGGGTTTAAAAGCGACTCTAGATGTACGGTTCTTAGCATGTCCCAAACCAGCCCTCTGACTACCCTTGGGGCCACGTGTTTAAGCTTTTCTCTGTAAGCAGTAGGGCTGGAAGTGTATTTTTTTTCCTTTAAGCAAAAGTAGAAATTCCTGAGGTGAGGAGGCCCTGGGAGCCAGGTCTTGCAAAGAAAGAGCCACCAAAAGTCTCCCAAGACTCATGATAAAGCAGAGTTAGCAACACTGCTGGCACTGCACAGTGGATCCTAGCAGGGAGGGCTGGCTGTACAAAGCTGCCTCGTGGGGGAGCTGCCTTCTTATTTGGAAGGGGATTGAGCTGCAACAAAGTGAAAGAAAAAAAAAAGTCCCTAAGCTGAACCTTGAAGCCTTTCCTCAGACCAAGCCCCCTCCCCTGGAGTTGCTGCTGCCCCTAGCGATACCCACCACGACTGGCAAGAAGCATCGGGCAAGCCCAAAGGCAGTGAGCCAGCTCACGACAACACAGAGACCCGATGCTACCCCACGGGCCTTCAGAGGGAGGATCTCCGACATCAGCAGCCAGGTGATGGGGCCCCAACCCATGGCATAACCTGAAAAGGACAAACAGGGGGAAGGTTGGCTGGGTGGCAAAATTGAGGGCACTGTGGCAGACCTAAAACCACTATCAGGGAGTGAGGAAAAGGGTCCCCCGTGGGCTGCAAATGCCTATGCCTCAATTTTGACCTGGTACTAAAGCCCTGCTGGCATTGAAGAACAAGGGATTCTCCATCAAGTGCTCCTGAGAGCGAGACCTGCAGTCAACAGTCCCTCTAGGCTGGCAATATTTATGTGGCCTTCATCCCATGCCCCTGCCCACGAATCCACCCTCACCCCACCCCTTTCAACATCCCTTCCTTGTAGCCAGTTTTAGGTACCATGAGTCTCAAACCACCTCCCCGAGAAGCACTTCCCTCCTGCTTCACCCTTGTGTGGGATCTCAGGTATCACACCAGGATAGTCCTGGACCAGTGACCCCAAGGCAGAGAAATAGATGCTGCACCAGGCAACATGGGCACCATGAGGTTCAGACATACCCATTATGAAGAACATGGTAGCCACGAGGGGGATGAGAGTGAGGAGGTTCGATGGCTCTGCAGTGAGGGTCTCGGGGCCTGCTACAGTCCCATTAGGAGTGTGGTTGGTCGAGTTTGCCGAGGGCAATGACACAAAGTGGATGTACAGTCCCAGGGTCATGTTGGAGGCAAACATAACCCCAGCTGTTGGCAGAGACATTATAAAAGAAAAAATAGGAAGCAGAGAGGTCAGGGCCCAATTCTCCCTCACGTACCCCCCGGCAGAGCTCCTTTAACCTCCGCAGAGCAGTTCTTCCCCATTTCCACATGGCTGAGCCCCAGAGACAGGCCCATTGCCGCATTTGTGCCACCCTCTCGTTCCTCTCCTGAGCTCCAGAAGAAGCATGCCCTGGAGCAATGCATCGCTGAAATAATTAAATATTTGCTGAGGCTTTGAAACCCTTGCAGGAAAACCTCCATTTAATCTAGGATTTACCAGAGACGAAGAGAAGAATCTTCCTCCCAGCTTTGTCCATGGAGACGGCAGCAATCAGCACGGACACCAGGCGCACCGCCCCTACGAGTGCTGCATCGTACTCTGGTTTCTGCAAGGACAAGAGGAGTTGTAGGAAAGCTAGAGCCAGGGTCGAGTGGGTAGCAGGTCCCTGCGTGCACTCTTGGGTGCTGTAGCCTTTGAGTTTAGCTAGTGTTGTTTCTAGTCAAGGAACTTTATTTTATTTTACGGAGTTATCCGTTATGCCAGGAAGGACCAGGGAAGGTTAGAGCACTGCATGGGGTAAGCTATGCCTAGCTAATGCCATCCCACCCCTTGCCCCGATTTACTGGGCTACAGCTGTGTTGACCAGAGAAGATACAAATCCACATGCTCCCTGGTTTTAAGGAATGAGATTTCAGCAGGAAAAGCTCCCAGATGGATGCTTGGGGCCGACAGCTGTGCACAGAGAGAGGTCTCAACTCGGGGCATGATCCGTCTCTGCAGGGGTAGAGGTGCTTGAGATGAAGGCCAGGAAGGGTTTGCTCCTTCCCATCCCAGGCCACAGTGGGAGGAGAGAGAAAGGAAGCAGCAAGCTGGCAAGAGCAGGGAGGCTGGGGTACGGGGTACACTGTGGTTGTGGCACCACGGGGCTAGATTTTCCAGCAAGACTTGTGATCTTGGGCATCTTGGTTTTAGGGGGCCCAGTTTGACACCTTCCAGGGATGGTGTTGGAGGACAGGTCCTAAGCACTTGGTACCAGCCAGGTCCTTGCAAGTGCCTTGGAAGCTGAGCATGCATTACTTGAAAATACAGGCCTTGGCGCACCGATTTATCAGAGCAGCTGTATGGGCAGGGCAGCATGGCGAGTCCCCTATGGTAGCCTGACCCTGAGGTTTTCACCCAAAATGTAAAGAATCAGGGAAGTGGCGCTGGGAGGGGTCTCCAGAGGTCATCTCATCCACCCCCCTGCCTGAGCCAGGATCACCCCTACCCAAGCCAATAGTTTTGCCCTTAGAAAATTGGGCAGGGGTAAAGAGCAAAAGCCCCCACATGGCTTACCAGGATCACAGCCGTGCTCTTAAATATCGACTGCAGATACACCAGGATGGGGGTGACGCCCGAGAGCTGCTGCAGGAACCTCATCAGCACAGCGATCCGGATTGGCTTGTACATGAACGGGTCCCTGATCTCCGCGCAGGAAACGCGTCCGCTCTAGACACACACAGAGCAAGAAGGTTAAAAAAAAAAGACACCGGTGCCCGCGGGCAGGATCTGGCACACAAGTGGGGCTGCATCCAAGGGTGTCAAAGCATCTCGGTGGCGGGCCTGTCTGTCTCCTGTTGCAGTGAGAGGGAAATGAAGCACAGAGTGGGACAGAGGGACTTGCTGAAGGCCACGCAGGCTGCCTGTGGCAGAGATGAAAAGATAACCCAGGTGTCCCGAGTCTGTGGACCCTGAAACACGCTGCTCCCTCCAGCCACGTGAACATCGAGGGGATGGTCCTCACAGCCCACAGGAGCAGGGGCAGGGAGGTGGTGGTTTTCACGTTCTCCGGTATCGATTCCCAGCCTGTCCCCTGCAAGGGGCCCTCGTCTCCTCACCTGCTTCCTCACGCTTTCCTTGATTTGCTGCAACTCCCGGGGGTAATCCGTGTCCTTTCCCCGGAGCCAGCACAGCGCCTGACGGGCCTCCTCATCCTTCCCCTCGGAGATCAGGAAACGGGGCGAGTTGGGCATGAAGTAGAGCAGGACGATCATCACGAGGACTGGCACTTCCCCTGCCACGGCCAGCCAGCGCCAGTCGAGCTTCAGAGCTGCATGAAGCAAGGAGACTGTATTAGAGGTAGAGCGATCTGGGGCCTGGTCCCCAGCCTCCCCCTACCCCTCCCATGATGTCATTCTTCTTGGAGCGCGTTTCCTATTAGGGCTTTAAGACAAGGTTGCAGCGAGTCTTGCCCCTTCTCGCTATTTTCGTCAAAAGCCTAGAAAGACTTTTAATTCCTTGACCCATTTGTGGGTGTTTTTGGAGGCCCCCCGCAGTTCTTGGCAGCAACAGAGGCTTTCCACAAAGAGCTCTGTAGCATTGGAAAAGCCATTTTCCACGGGGAGAGAAAAGTTTAAGTAGAAATTTTTCCTCCCTCTAGTTACAAGGTGGCCAATTTACCATCCTGCTTCTGCCAAGCCTAATCCACGTTCAAGAGACTGGTGGTCTATCAAGTGGGGTGTTGTGCCAATGCATCCGGAGAAGAGACCTGCCATGGCCCATCCCGGGAACAGTGGGTAAAAATGCAAATTTCCCTTTAACACCGGTGGAGCCCGGCTTGGATCATGGTCTACTGCAAATGGCATTACCATTATAGTGGCCACCAATCCACCACCTTAAGTGCCTGGCTGTTATTCACATCCATCAGGCCTTCCTGTGCTTCCCATATTCCCTGTATGACGTTACAGTGCCTTGGACTCCAGTAAGCCACCAGCTGCCAACTTGCTCCCATAGCTCTTCCCTGGCAGCGAGCTTGTCCAGGTGGCCATCTTTGTTGCTTCTGGAGTTTCCACCTTGTTGTGCCCAGTGAAGCCCCCCTCTTAAGAGCATGGACGGTGGTGTGTACTTGCCCAGTGCATACAGGAAGAGAGAGCCCAGGACTGCCATGATCTGCGGGCAAGCACCCAAGGCTCCTCTGACACCAGGGTGGGAGATCTCCGAGATATACACCTGGAGGAGGACAAAGCCACTGTTAATGGAGCAGGTATCGCCAGCCAGACCCTGCACTATTCTCCCGGGGCGAGCAGCTTCTCAGAAAGAGCCTCCTTGCTCGCCTCCCCTGAAACCCTGGGAAAAGAAGGTGCTTGCTCTAAGCAGTGATCTCTGCTGAGACATGTTTCCTGTTATGGAGGGAAGTGAAATGAGAGTCGACAGCCCTGTTCATTTTGGGGTTGCCCAATTGTTCCCTGCCTTGGTTTTTGCAATGCTAAGTTTGGATTACACCAGAGGGCTGCCTTTGTCCCATGAGCGTGGGAGGACATAACTGCCATCCCAGACACAGCCAGACTGTGCAAGGGGAGAGTCCTCCTCTGTGCAGAAGAGTCTCGGGCTGGCTAACAGCTCTAGACACCGCCGTTCTCTTCTCCGTTTAATGCCTGATCATCCTGCGGGGGCTGCCACAGAGGGGCAAAACCTGCTGCATGGAGGCCACATAGCACTCAGCGATGGGTCGCTGTCAATCTAGGCCACATGGGGAAGAGCTTCCTTAGCCCAAGACCATGCCGGGATGGTCACCGAGCCCTCCCGCCAGGTTCAGCTGAAACCTGCAAGCCATTATAGCGGTAGCAGGCTCTGGGTCCATCATCCCAGATGGGTAGGCCTCCAGCCTTATGAATGGTTGGAGATTAGTCTCTTAGGTGCAAGAGATTGGTGGCACTAGTTCCCCAGGTTAGCCGATCCCCCTCCAGGTGGTCTCCCCCCACCCCCATGTTCCAGTTCGTGACTTAGCCACATGCTCACCGGGATGGATGCAGACGTCACGCCCCCCGCGTAGCCGGTCAGCAGCCTTCCCAGCAGCAGCATCCAGATGTCTTGGGCACTGCCCATCAAGAGGTATCCCACGGCAGAAGGGACAGCAGAGACCATGATGCTCAGCTTCCGGCCGAGGCTGTCGTTCAGGACCATGGAGCTGAGCCCACCGGCCGCCGCTCCCAGCATGAACATGGACTGCAGGCAGACGGCACGACGGAGCGGGGAAGGAAGAGTGGAGGGGGAAATTCATGAACAAAGCCTGAACCTCTCAGCCTCAGTGCCAGCAATGAGCTCAAGGTGAGGCTCCAGACCACCCCTATGCCAACCTCCATCAGGTACAGCTGCCGCTTGCAATCCACCATTGCTAATGGCTTCCTTCATCTTGCCAGAGTGTCAAAGATCCCAGCTGGCATTTCTTTCCACCTAGCATCCCTTTCCTTCCTCCCACAGCTCCTCAGAGGCCCTTTCTCAATAACTCCACCTGCTGCCACCGAGGGACGTTAACACCTTGTGCTTTTGCACCAAGCCTACAGTTTCATAAGTGCCTAGTGAAGGTCGGCATCTCGGTTCCTGGGTGCCCACCCTAAGACATCTCAAAAGGAGCCATGGGTGACTGGTGCTGCCTTGGGGGGCATGTGCCCCCCCACGATCAGTCCCACCCCCGACAACCCATTTTGCTGCCTGGGGGCAGGGGGACCCCCACAGCCAATCTCGCTGCAGGCGCTTCTGGGAGTTGCTGCAGTGATTGGCCAGCACTTGCATGGGGGGCACTAGCGCTCCCGCCTGCCCATCGCCTAAGTGGCAAGCACGGCTGGTCAGGGGGTGCAGCAGCACTCTCAGTGGCAATGTGTAGGGGGTGCACGTGCACCCGCTGAAAGGAGCCCAACTTCTGGGCAGTGCCACACACCTGCTGTCTGCAGGCCAGGCCCCTGTTAAGTCTCAAGCTGGACACCCCAGGCTGCGAGTTACTTGTGCACTCACAGGGTGCTTTAACCCAAGGATCCCATACACGGCACTTCCTCAGGACTGATCGCATCTCACAGCCTTGCAGCCTTCCCAGGTCCAGCATCCTTAGAAGTGGTGAATGGGTCCACAAAGACAGAAGGTGAAAAGCCCAGAAAATGCTCCTCCTTACCCCAAACCAGGATGACTCCACCTGGGTCATCTTCAGCCTGGGGTTCGTGGATTTTTCCAAGGCAGGGATCACGGGAGACGTGTAAACTAATGAGAACCCGGCACTGAAGTTTCCCAGGACGGCGGCGAAGGCTGCCAGAAAAAGCCGCTTGTTTCGGAGAGTTCTGAAGCAGAAACAGCACGAGGGAGAGATAAGGGAGCATGCATTAAAGCAGCACTTCCCTCGGACACCATACAGATACAAGAGGAGATCGAGCTCTGCTTATCACAGAGGTCCTGCCCATCAGCCCCATCTTCCATTTCCCCCATGCCACCCTCATGTCCTGTCACATGCCTGCCACGGCCTGGTTTACTGTGAAGCCGACAGCCTTCCTGAAGTGCAGAGCCCCAGACGGCTCATGGGGCATGGGTGCATTAAACACACCATTAGACCAGGATAAAAAACAGCCCTTCATTTGCAAACTTGACCCCTTTTTGTCTCTTTCCTCATCACAATGCAAGCGGGACATGGTGACTTCACATCAAGAAGCTAGAGCTGCTGAATTCAGGAAGTTGCTGATGCCTTGCAACCTGCTTTACCATTACCAGTAACTACAATTTATACAAAGCAAAGGAAAAAAGAAAAAAGGAGAGAGAGAAGAAAAAGCAGAAGTGGGAGGGTAATAATGCTGCAAACAGAGCTCTAAGTGGGGTGGCTTCTCTCAGCCTTTTGCTCTACGTTTCCTCTTTGTGTTGTCTTTGCAAACCCAGTGCTGGCTGGCTGGGGTATTGCTAAAATAAAAACAAGAAACCCAGCATGATTTGTACATCAAAAGTGCCCTCCTAGTCGTGGACCAAGACCGCTATTGCGCCCGAGGCTGTCCATCCGGGAGATGAAGTCCATTTTTAGCCAGGCTCAAACTTGTCCTCCTGCCCTGGCCAGCAGGGATCCTGGGTACTGCACAGGCACCGCCTGGGACCCATCCTTTTTGGGGGAGTTGTTCTCCAATGACATCCAGGGGCAAAGACACCTCAGTTACAAGCTGGCTGCCAAAAAGGAGGCTCTCTCAAATAAGCAGTCATCCTCCGTTGTCATCTCCCCCCCCATCCAGGGCCCCATGTCACCACAGCTTTCATGAGGGACACTTCTGGGGAAGCAGTGGCACCATTCACTGTGACGGAAAGCTCATTGCAGCGATGTCCCGCCCTACATGCAGGGGCTCTGCCTCCTGCCCTTGCCCCCTTCCTATGGGGACAGTTGCCTGATCTCATTTGGTAGCAGTCATCCCAAGAAGAAAAGATTAAACCCCAGCTGTGCCAAAGCACCCGCCCCCACCTACGCGAGGCAAGTAGCTGGTGCCCGTTCCATAAGGTGGGCCAGGGCTTATCTCCTGGCTGTGCTGCACAGCGAATTATTTGCGCCCCGATGAACACCTCTGTACTGCATCCCCTTTCCTCTGAACACCCCCGTCCCAGTCTCCTGCCTCCCCTCGCGGGCGCGTGCACACTTAGCTGAGGCCGGCACAACACCTAGCACAAGGGAGCCCCGATTCACGACCAGGGGCTCACCCCTTCGTGCAAAGTAGCAGCCCGCGAGGAAGTCAGTAATGCTTCACCCTCTTTCCCCGCAGGGACAGGAGGTGCCTGGCAGTGCAGCTGTGCTGCTCCTCCGTGCTTTTCGGCGAGAGAAGCATCCAGGCATCTCCTGTGCTCCTGACTCCCGCCCCTGGGAGCCACCCCGAGAGCGCTCTTACTTGATGTACGCCTGGTCCAGCTTCCGGTCATGCTTCTTCAGGAAGGTGCGATATACCGAGCTGGAGGATCTCAAGAGCGGCTCCCTCACGCTGGGCTCCATGGCAGGCGCTTGGTCCCGCTCTCCCGGGAGGGTGGCAGCAGGTGCAGTTCTCTGCTGCTGCTCCGCTGCCTCTCTGCGCTGCTTCCCGGAGAGGGACGAGAAGCCGTGAACCCAAATGAAAGCGAAAGAGAGAAGTTAGCTCAAAGCATTTCTTAATCTGAGAAATCTCTGCCTTGTGGGCAAGCGTCTGAGATGAGGAAACTCCACGGAGTCAGAGAATAGATCAGTGAAACAATTGGGCCCTGCCTAGTGCTTCCACATTGCGTCGGCGGTCCTTCCCTTCCCCTGCACACACCCAGGCCCGGCGTCACCTCTCCCTTTGCGCGGGCCAGAGCCTACATCTACAGCTGATGCTGGTACTCCAGTGGAGGGGCATTTGTCTTAAAAGGAGCAGTCTTGTGCCAGCAAGACCCACAGTGTAGACGTGGTTTATGCTAGTAGAGGCGTCCTGTTGCCAGTCCGGGATCCATCCAGACCAAGTAGCTTTCTGCTGGGCTTGCTTGCTTTTACCCATGTTGGAACAGCTGTAGCAGCAAAGCTCTTCTGGCCTAGAGCAGGCTTGAGAGAGGGCTGAGAAAGGGAGATGGGGGGAGGGAAAGAGAAGAAAGGGAGGGGAGGGGAGGGAGAGCAAGAAAGGGAGGCCAAAGATAGCAAAGAGGTTGGCAGTCCTGTGTGCGGCGTCTGCTGGGTGCAAGGCAGCCTGGGCAGCGCTGGTGACACACACAAAACAAAAAGGAGAAATTCTGGTTTTCTGTACACAGGGCCTGTCCCTGCCCAGCTCGGAGGTTTGCAGAGGGACGGTTCGAAGGGACAGGCACCGACTGCCTTGCAGCACGGTGGGCCGGGGACTCGCCGCTTTGTTCAGATGGGAGTTGAGGCAGGGGTCCTGCACAACTCCCACCTACAATATTTGGAGCAGCCCAGCTAATCCCAAAGGAGCACCTCTGCCTGGCCTTAGCTTCCTTATGCAGTCATGCATACCACGATAGAGAAATCCCCGCTGACTTCCCCTGGGGCGGGGGCTGGACTCAAAGATCTTCTGAAGTCCCCCCCCAGCCCTGATGTCTGTGCAATCTATGAGATCAGCCGTAATCCTGACATCACGGTGCGATTCAGCCGTTACTTACGCAAACTTCCAAGACAGCTCAGTTTGCTCCTGGGATCCAGGCAGGCAAGCCTTGAATTCCCTCATATAAAACTAGCTGCCTTGGCTTGGCCCTGGCCCTGCTAGTGGTGGTATTCCCGAAAACCACTTTCCTCAGCACTTCCACACCTGTGCTGGGATGGATTAAGTCTGAAGGAGTGCTTAAATTATCACCGAGGGCAGGGCTGGGCTCCCCTCTGTGATAGCGGGATGAGTTGTCCTAGAATCATAGGAAATGAGGGTTGGAAGGGACCTCAGGAGGTCACATCTAGTCCTGCCCCTTTGCTCACAGCAGGATCATCCCCACCCATATCATCCCAGTCGAGGCTTTGTCCAGATGGGTCTTAAAAGCCTCCGAGGACGGAGAATCCACCACCTCTCTGGGGAGCCTGTTCCAGAGCTTTACTATCCTCCTAGTGAGAAAGTTTTTCCCAATATCCAACCTAAACTTCCCTTGCTGCAGCTTGAGCCCATTGCTCCTTGTTCGGTCGTCTGCCCCCACTGAGAACAGTCCATCCCCATCCTATTTTGAACCACCGGTCAGGGAGTTGAAGACTTATTAAATCCTCTCTCAGTCTTCTCTTCTGCAGACTAGATAATCCCAGTTCGCAGCCTTTGCAGAGGCCAGCTTTGTCAGTCATCTCCCACTAATCATGTTCTTTGATTCCTCTTGGAGAAGTCCTGGCAGGCCCCTGGCAAGCTGCAGGATAAAGGAAGTCTGAATAGATCTAATCCCACTCCTGCTCGGAAAGACTTCACCTTCCAGGCTCAGCAAAAATGCAGCCCGTTGTCTGCAGCAAGTCTGCACCTGGCCGAGCTGTTTGAGGCCTTCCCAGGTACCAGAGGAGGTTGCTGAAGTCGCTGCAAGCACTTCCAGACATGCATGCATTATGGTCAGAGGCATTTTCTCCCCTGCCTGTGCAGTGTGTGGAAGCCTGGGTATCTTATCCCCACCATTCATCCCCAAGGGCAAGGAGGGCAGTGGAGGGGGCTGCTGGAAATCTCCATATTGAGGATATACCCTTACCGCGCCACTCGGTGCCGAGCCCAAGCAAACTGGGCTGCTTTGCATGTGCGGCTTCCTCGCTGGAATGGATGTAGCCTCCTTCCTGTGCTGCTGTGGCTGGCCTGAGGAGCTGAGTCTCTCAGCAGGGCTAATTAACCCACCAGCTTTCATGCCGGTTTCTAATGAGGGAAGGACTGCACCTGGAGCAATGTGACAGGTGCAAGGTATCAGCTTTAAGGGGTCCACCCTCTAGGTACAAACCCTGCCCGTTTTGTCCCTCAAATGGTTCTCAATGCTTAGTTAAAAATAGCTGGGCTAGAGACGCTCTTGAGCACGGATAATTTAGGAGCCATTTAGGAAGTTTCCCGCCCATTCAGTTATGATCCTTGCAGCCAGGCAGACTTTGTCTTTGGTTCTGCTCAGGTCACCAGGACCGAGAAATCATTTTTCTTCTGGCTTTTGTCGTGCACAGGGACAAGCAGAGATCCCTCCCTGGGGATGCACTGGAAGGATCCTCTCTCTAATTGCTGGTGGACCTAGTCCCATCTGGCACTTGGTAATCATTGATCATGTTAATCAGGGCCCCTGTATCCACCACCTTTGGTACTGAGTGACCGACCATTTAACACCAGGACCATACAACACACGCATCTCCCCTACAAGAGAGACGGCCCTTAGCCTCTCAAACCCTCTCTCCTCAAAACAGAGTGGGGAAAGAAGGAAGAAAGCTGTTTGCACATGGAGCAAGCAGATGTTATTGAGGTTTGTGCTGCTGGTCCATTTTAAACCCCACACTGAAACAGAGGGTGTTCCCCTACAAGGGCACCTTCCACAAGTTGGGGTCCCTCCCCTACACGGCTGTCTTGGTTTGCTAAGTCAAGGCAAGGACAGTTCATCTAAATTCATTCTTCACTGCTGCCCCATGGCTATTGCTAAGGATTTGTCATGGGATCTCATTAACAGCCCCCCAGACTAAGGGGTCTCACACCACCCTCCCCACAAAGCAGCCGGATGGGCAGCATTGGGTGTTATTAGCTCTGCCACACACGACTCACCTCCAGGTGTTGGGTTGAGCTCCGACCAGAGCTTTTACAAGGGTGCCAAGCTCCTAGCTCCTAAGGTCCCACAGACTCCTTAAGGAGAAACCAGCTCGATTGCTATAGCAGGCGATGAAAACAGGCCTCTGTTTCACCTTTTTCTATCATTTCTTCTGCAAAAAAGAATCTTTCCACATAGCATCATCACCCCTTGCGGTTTGCATGGCTAGCTCTTCCCTAAGGGGCTGCTCATACTGTCCTCATCACTCCCTAGGTACAAAGACCCTCCAAGGCAACACAACACCTACTCACAATACTGCAGGCTGGGGCCCTGCTACTTTATTCACCCGCATCTCAGCTGAGCTCAGGGAGTGGGGAAGGGGGGACTGGTACTTCCAAGGCAGGATTTAAGGAAGGGGTGGAGTTGTGCCCCAGCCCATAACACTCAGGGTAGCCCAGTTAACCTCATCACGACCACGTTGCTACCCATGGCTCCAAGTGGAGCTAGCAAGTGATAAGTGATAAGCAGCCCAGGGGACCCTGGTCATATAGCCTATTCCTAGCCCTGGCATGGGACTTGCCTCCTCTGTGCGATAAGACTCACTTAGGAACCCACACTTCCCTAGATGTGCCTGTTTGCCTTTCCACCTCTGCTCCGCGCCTCTGGGAGCAGTGCCCCCTGATAACACTCAGCATGGAAGATGCATTTCACGCCAACCTTTCTGTGCCCTCTGCTCACCCCAGACTGTGGGTACAATGATCCACGCAGCCTGCAGGACCCAGGGCTGAGCCGTGGTGCCTGTGAACCAGGCTCTCTAGGGAGTTCTCCAGGCCTATGCATTGCAGCAGCCTCCTGCAGCTTCAGCCTGGCTGGCCCTTGCTATTCAGCGCTGGAACTGGGTAGCGAGGACTTCTCAAGGATCTGCACGGAGAGGTGCGGACGACTCCTTCACACCAGCTAGGACATTGCACAAGTTTGGCTCTGGATGTCCCATCCGGTTCCTACAGCTGCAGCAGGCCAGCGTGCATGGGGCTGCTGGCAGGAATGCATGCGGCTGGAAGCAGGTAAGGGAAGGAGTCTCTGTTTGGCGGCATCTTCACAGCTCTGATGCTGGGAGAGTTCAGCATCTGTAAGGAGGCCACCGGGGCTTTATTTTGTGGACTATAAGCCCCCTTGGGGTAGGCTGAATGGAGGAGTGGCTTTTGGCACCTCTTGGAGCCATTCCTAGGCATCCCGAGGGCCCTCTGCTGTTGTAAGATGTTGTTGGAGGCAGTTCCTCTTCTGCACAGATCCCAAGCACGGCGTCACCAGGGTGGGGTGAACAGATCCTCTTTATAGCCAGGGGACTTTACGTCTGACTCAACCCCTCAGGTTCTTCCCGAGGGGAGAGAGTATGAGGGGCCACTGGGATGTGACACCAACTCACTGGAAAATTCCCCCGGTGCCAATGGGTCAGATAAATGTCACCCTCTGTTATGTCACCCTGTCCCTGCAAGGGGGTGGGGGTTGCCGTGTGAAGGAGAAGTGCTCGGGAAAGATGCGTGCTTGGCCATTTGGCCGCCTGGCTCAGTGTCTCTGTGTGGGTTATAACACGGTGTGTTTGGGGGCTAAACCAGCAGAAATGAGAGCGGACCCTGGCCTTTTCCAGGCATCAGCAGTGAAGTGCTCTCGGGACAACTGGGTGCTTCTCAGAGGCTCGGACAGGAAGATGAAGGCATTGCCTCTAACACCGCTAGTTTAACCAACTGGAAGGGCAATGTGTGCCTAGGTGTGCAGGGAAACTCGATGCACCGAGCGCAGTTGAGCATCCTGCCTTGAGGGGGGACAGCCTGGGGGCTGCCGGTGGCCTCTCCTCGGCACAGAGAAATTTTTCTGAGCAAAGACTGAACCAGCACAGGGAGAAACCTGGTAGAAAAGGCTTGGGCGCATTTCAAAGAGCTCAGTCCCGGCCCCACCTGCTGGTCGCTGGCCCCGGCTGCCTGTGGCTCAGTGTCTCGTGCACAGCGCGTTGCAACTGGAGCCGTCCCCGGAGGCAGGGAACTGGCTTGCATGAGAAGGTGACAAACAAGCGAGGTTACAGCTGTCTGTCAGGCGGTCCGCACTGATTTAGGATGCTAGGGGTAGAAGAAGGGCAAAAGTGGAGTCCTAGCAGCCTGCGAGCCAAACAGGAGGTAATGGACCCAGTTTTTAAGCTGATGCTGGTCAATGCTATTCCGGCATCGCCCTGAGCAGATGGTATGCTGGATGCATGGAGAGAGAACTAGCAGGGAAAAGCTGGGTTTTTTTAGGGGTGGGGCGGACATTTCCCAGCAAAGCAGAGAACAAGTCAGGTGGTATCCTTTATTAGACCGACTAGATTTGCAAAAGAAACAATTCTTTAATTGCAATTCTTTATTTATTTATTTTTGCAAAAATGTAGTTGGTCTAATAAAAGCTATCCCCTTTACCATGAGTCCTGATGCCCTTTTGCCTCCAGACCAGTATGACTACACCCTGGATACCTGAGAAAAAAATCAGGCATCCTTGTTTTTGCTCAGCCCTGGGAACGTTAGCATGGAGTTGGGGGGAGCCGGATCCCCAGGTCCCAAAGCAGGGGGCACCGGTATGGGAAGAGGCGGCGTGTAGAGAATTGCGCTAGGCTGAGTGGGTTCAGCTGCTCTTGATGCCAGTGTTGAGCTGTCTCACATGGCTTCATTGTAGGACTCAAGATTGGCGACTGGGGCTCAGCCACTGACCCGTGATGAGTTCCTGAGGGACGACCATCACCTCTTGGTCCCTCCCCGGCTCTAAGCTCAAGATACGGGATGACTTTTACTGTGCGTTCCTACCTTGCCTGGCAGGGCAGAGCCCTCGTCTCAGCTGGATCATGTCAAATCTCACAGGCCCGTGTTTTGCCTGTGTATGATTCCAGGTTGCCTTGTATTTGAGGCATGTGTTTGGGAAAATGATTGCTTTCCCTTTTCATTTGACTCTCTTCTCTGGAACCGATTCACCCATAGGCACAGCTGGCAGAGACTGGTGCCCTGGCCTGATTCCAGCATAGGTCCTTATTGCATTTCCCGGGGTTTATCCTGGGAGAGGCACAGGTACAGGTATGCTGTCTGTTTGAAGTGGCTCCATTATATTACCCTAAAATTGTCATTACAGGAACAGCTCCCTGAGCAATGGGGGCAGAGGACTGGGAGTTGGGAGGCTTGGGCGCTAGCTTGGCTTGGCAAAGGACCTTCTGGGCACCCGCTAGCAAAGCACCTCCTCACTCATTGCTTCGTTTTTCCCACGTGTGACATGCACGCAGTGAGATGGATTTTTCCACTGGCGCACGTGTGCACGCAGGGGAATCATTTACCGATGCACGTAAAGCACATTGCAAACCTCAGATGAAATGCAAAGCATTCATGCCCTTTTCTTCTTCCAGTGAAATCTTGTGAGGATACATTGGCTGGAGCTGGGTACATCTACATGAACACGATGGGAATCTCCCCCAGCAAAAAACATGCTGCATTAGGAAGGAGGCTTGGGCTGGTTCTCTCTGGCTCAGCCAGCCTCCAAAGGGGAGTTGCTTTGCAAACAGGAGGGAGGCAGAGAGAGGATTTAGGACCATGAGGACATGTTGCCTTTAATGGGAGAAGTGTTTTCAGGTGGTGACACCTGGGAGAAATCCACCCCCTCACCCTGGGAGTCAGGCTAAGGGCTTTTCTTTCTAGGAAGAAGGAAAGGTGCGGCTTTCACAAGGCTTCCTGGTGTGGGGAAGAGCTGCAATGCAGGTAAATATTCACGTCTCTTATTTCTTCTCTGACCCTTCTTCTTTCCTAACTGTCTGCAATGAGCAATTGAAGACTTGGAGGTGGTTCTCTTAGACCTTCCTCCAAGGTCTCTCTCCAGCCTAGGAGGCCAGTGGCTTGGGTCTCTTGCTCAAAGTGAATCCAGCTAGTGGGGAAGGAGGAGTTGGGTTCATCTCTTTGCTGCAGCAGTGGCTATTTCTCCATGGGAGGCTTCACCGGACGGATACAGTACCAAGCCTGGTTTGCTGTCTTTTGGGATGCCAGGGTATGGACGCTGTTGTAAGCGTGAGATACCTCGGCAAGCGGTTGCTGCCCTAAGACGTTTTCAGTCTCCCTTAGCTCCAAGAAGAAGGCAGGTTGGGTCCTTTCTTGGCTTGCTGCTACCATGCCTGCACCCCTCCCGAATGCTAATGAATGTCTTAGAGCATCCCTCCTCTCTGAGCAGTACCAGCTGTCGTTTCACCGGTGGGGCCCCGGTGGCATAGGGAGGCTAAGCTACTTGCCTGAAGTGATGCAGGACTGATCTCAGGACCGAGCCCAGATGTACTGAGTCTGGTCTCGGCGGCCCAAGCGTGAAATGTGTGGGGAAAACGAAGCCATGATGCTGATGCTCTTAGGCTGCGCCCGTTCTTGTCCCCATCCCTGCGCAGTAACTCGCTTGCTCTAGGCCACACAGGTCCCAGATACAGGGATGGTAGCAAGAGGGTGGCTGGAAGGAGGTGACAGATGTCCTGTAGCTGAGAGGAGCCAGGAGGCCGGTCCATACGGTGCTGACCTCTTATCAAGCCTGAGTGGTGAATTTTGGGTCCAGGCTGTGCTTAGCTGAACGCATTTGGGGTTGGAAAGGCCTTGTGGTACCCGAGTTGTCTGCACCAGTCAAGCTAAGGGTCTCGGGTGTTTCCTGGGGGCTGGAGCTGCTCCTTTTCCCTGGCCCTCAAGGGGACTTGCCTTGCTGTGGGTGGTTTTGACTTCTAACCCAGAGCTTGCCAGAGCCCAGTCCCTGCAAACTGATCTTCATCTGAGATTTGCAAGCTGGTTTGACAGCTTTTCTCGGAGGCGGGGAGCTGTCAGGATTTCCTTAGGACCTGACCGTCCTGGGCTTGTGTGAGCAAAGGCCGGAGAGGGAGCCAAGCCAGCACAAACTGCTGTGAAACACTGGGGCTGTTTGCCTCAAATTTTATCCTTTGTGACCATGCCGGCCCGTCTTCACTCCTGCTCTCCGTGTGTGAACGCGCGCTCTTTGGAGGGAGAGTAGTGTTTGGCCTCACCCCACTGCATGCATGTTGTTTGTGCAAAGCCATGCTGCTTGTCCCCTGAAAAACCCTCTTGTGCAGCAGAGATGCCTCCTGGGGAAAACAGGATCAACTCCATGGGCCCAATAATAGAAAAAGAAGTGGGATCTAGTAGCGTGACTGGGGAAGGGGGTTGAAGACGGCACCAGCCCCAACGGGGGCTATTCTGCCTCTCTTCACTCTGGCCTTCTTACCCCAAAGCCTGGGGCAGAACGCGCCGGCCTCCCTGCACACATCATTGCTGACCTCAGGATTGCTGTTCTCAAGCCAAAAAAATAGCTTTAAAAACCAGCTTCAACAGGAAACTGCAGAACGAGTTATCTCCCACAAACTGGACTGAGTTAAGTGTGGCTGAAATAGGGTCCTTGTCGGGAGAGGAGCTAAGCAGCTGACACACTTATGAGTACTATCAAGAGGTGCAATCCAATCCATCGCCATGTTCCCACCCAGCCATCACAGGATGCGACTCTCCAGTGAGACGAGGCTTTTGTCTCATGCAGTTAGAGAGGCCTGGTTTAGGCTCGGTGGTCTTGCTCTCCTGAGGTCCAAGTGGCAGGCTTTTTTTTTCCCCCCCTTCAGACCCTCTGTCTCTCTCCCTGCTCAGTTTTTAACTATTATAAAGCCTCTTGCTACAGAGTTCCCATCTGAAAACTCCCAGAGTTTCTTGATGCTGTTGCATTTAGAAAGCAGGGTTTTTAAACCTAGTGCTTTATGAATCAACACAACACTTGGTTGATGAATAGTAGAAAAGTTTGTTTTAATAACTACCAACAAGCTACAAAACTAAAAAGCAGAAAGACTCTCGTTCCCAATATAAAACAAGCTATTCGTTCTCACTGTTATCTTAGCCGCACAGAGATCTTTACCCGATGCAGGCAGGAAGCGGTTCGTGTACAGCCTCAAAGCGTGGATCCTTGTGCGCTGGGTGGCAGGATGGCTTGGTCTGGACTACACACATCTTGCTGGCAAATCTGCTTAGTTTTTATACTGTTTAATTGTACAGCTTCAAAGCATTTTTCCTTGATGGCTGGCTGATTAGAGTCCAAACAAACAGGGATGCAAAGGTTGATCGTAACACAACTGCTAAGTGCCTGGCTCCTGTTTTTGATTTGTCGAGGTGTGAAGACTGGTTTTTCTGCAGCCCCTGCAATTATAGGTTGATTTACAGGGGACGGGTCTGAGTGGTCCAACAGGATCCTTAGAGGTGTCACCAAACCTGTTTTGGGGCATTTGTGTATCAATGGGGCAAATTTGCAGTCGCTTACACCAGCGATGGTCTATTTGCAGAACTCCAGACATACAGCGAATGATTGAGACATTGCAACACCGCAGAGTGACATTGGATGCCTGTTTTGAGAAATGTGAGGATGTCATACAGAGCATCCTCCCTATATTCAAGGCACCTTTTACAGGTTTCTTTTGAGTTGCATATTTAGCTTTTTGTCTTTCTTTTTCTTTTTTTTAGCTGCTAGGTCAGTTGAAATGCATATGTAGTTTCCTTGGCTCACTGGCCCAGCTTTTCCTTTGGCCCTCTTAGCTTGGAAATACACATGTGATGAATGCGTCGGGACTCTGCCAATAATTTTAACCACTTTAGTATTTTATGGCGTGGGTCCAGTATTGGGTACCGCGAGCTCCAGTGTCTTGACACCTAATGGGTTGCAAGCCATTAGTGGAATTTGATTTTCCTGCGGCAGTCCCGTTATCACGATCCAGTCGCGCCCCAGCCCTTGTCTTGCATTTTTCTGCAAGAGACACTGTCCAAGCTTTCACATGCAGTGGGTAGCACTCCAACCCCCCCACTACCAATGGCTTATCAACTCTGTGTATGAGGACAAGCCCTTAGAGCTGCTCGGAGCTGTTAGTGTAGCTAAGGTGCGGCGATCAGGGCAGCAGCCCCTGCCACCGGCTTAGGCAGACGGTGGTGGTGGCTGGTGCTATTTTTCCAGCCCCAACTGGCTGCACCGGGAGCCAGGCCGCTCCGTTACACCTTTGGTCCAGAGCCTCTGACTTTGATGCCTGGAAAGCTAGGGCTGATTTAATTGCCTGGGTAGCTCGTAGCCAGCAACACCGTAAGCATCCAGCCTGCAAAGGGAACAGCACTAATAGAGAACTGCCGGTTTCCACAGTTTCGGAGCAGCTCCAATGATGGCAGGTTTTTGGAAGGCAAATAAAATGCTTATTAGGGCTGCTGGGAAATTGCTGGATGCTCTTGTCCTGAGGCTGTTTCCTGGTTCACACGGGAATGTCTTTTAGCATACAATACTCCCTGGCTGGGCTGGAGTCACGAATCCAGCGGCTCCGCTTCTGCGTAGCTGAGGCCGAGGCTGGTTTGGGAGTTGTTCCTAGTCCCTGCTCTGCTCTTGTCTCCTTGCTTTCGCGGCGTTGTCTGACTTCGTGACCTCCGTCTTGGCAGCAGAGCGGACTCGGAGTCCCTGGAACGACGGCGGAGGAATCTGTCCAGGAGAGGACAAGTGAAGCGGCTCTGAGCTTGCAAACGCCTGTCTCTGGGGCGGGTGACCGGATGTGTAGGTTGTTGTTGGTAATGTCAACACCTGGCACTGACTTTTTTTCAGTCATGCTTCACCTAGAAGAAGGGTTGTGGTGCAGGTACTTAGGGAGCACGAGCTGGCCGGGTGCTGCGTGCGAGCTTTGTGCTGACGGTGTCGTAGGCGCCCGAGCGGTGAATGGCGAGGAGATCTTTGCTCTGCTCTTTCCAGGCTGGCCAGTTTCGACGCAGGTTTGGTAATATTCACAGCTACTGATGGCTCTTGATTGTGCCTGGCCATAAAAGTCGCAATCTGGGTGGTGAACCTGGCTGTCTTCCCTGATTGAATGTACTAACCTTCTCTCCGGATCTTGTCCTTTGTGGCTGGGCTCTTGCTGAGTGGGGTTGACCTCTTTCTGCTTCGGCTGTGGGAATGTTAAAGCTGCCAATAACTTGTACATCGAGTATCTGAGCTGTCAGCATTATTCCTCTCTCTATAGGGATGTGGCCCTTGCGTACCGGTGCTGTTTCAGTTACAGAGGCTTTGCAAGCACAAACAGGAGGACTTCTACAATCTTTTCTGCAGCGCCTGATGAAGGGTGTTTGTGCCCCAAAGCTTGCAATTTAAAGAATTTTTTTTGCAAAAATCTAGTTGGTTTAATAAAAGAGATCATCTCTACTCCAAGTCCTGATTGCCTTTTGCAAACACTAGTGCAGCCCCCCTGGAAGTTAAGGCAGTCGCCTTGTTCCCAGTTTGCAGGCAGGGAAAGGCCTGGACAAGCTGGGAACAGAACGTGAATCTCCTGGCCCCGTTCCTAGATCCCCTAGGCTCAGTTCTCCGAGACATCAACTTTAGCTTGCTCTTGATGTAAAGCTGCCAGAGTGGAAGGGAAAAATCGGGCTCTTGGCTTCCTTGGGCTTCCCGAAACCTCTCTGAAGTTCTGTTGTAATTACAGCACTCGAAGACCAAACCCAGGCCTGCCTCCGGTGCAGGGAACGGCTGAGGAAAGCCAATATCGCTGCTTGAACTTGTCAGAAACCCTGGGACTGAGCAGAAATGCAATCCAGAGAAAGGCAAGTGCCCTCGACATCCCCAGCACGTGCTTCCCCGAGGCCAGAAGACTCTGACTTCTTGCCGTCCGTCGCTCTTGCTGGAGTCCTGTGTCTGGTTTTCATCTGCGTCTCTCCGCTACTTGTCCGGGGCAACGATGGGCGCGTGCCCTTCCACGACTGCTCGGCCCTAAACTCCGGCAGGGCTTGCTCGCCGACCCGTAAACTAAGGGCATTTCGTCTTCTCTTCCCAAGCCAGCCGGAAGCGACCTGGCGGGCCCTGCAGCGCAGTCTGGGTGGCCGGAGGTGGCCGGACCGTGCTGAGGGGGTCAGGGTCTCTCTGGTGGCCGTTGGACTAGGAGAGGCGAGAAACACGCTCCTGTGCCTCTTGAAGCGGGTCCTGTTGTCGCTGGGCACGGAGCGAGGCTCGTCTCTCGCAGCAAGGGTGCAGGTACCGGAGGACCGCAGCGCTTATTTGCCTTGCGGGGTGCGCTCGGAGCGGGGGGCACGCAGCGTTTCTATCGTTTACGAGCGGGCAAAGCTTCCTCCTTACAGCGTGACCGTAACTGCGCAGTGCTCGCTTGATGGCAGCCCCCTGGTCACCGAGACCACGGTGCAGTTTTGGAGGAACGGCACGGACCAGGCCGGAGAAGACCGTCTCCGTAGCTCGACGTCCCGTTTGGCGGCTGAAGTTTTAAGAAGCCTTTGCCGCAGTGGCAGGGCCCCTGACGAGTCGCGGGCCGCTGCCAGGAGCCTACCCGTGCTCTTCGTAAAGCCTGAGCAGTATCTGGAAGGTGGTTTTGTTTGCTGATACCGAGTCGCGGTGACCTGCTGGGAGCCATTGCAGCAGTCTCCTTTGGGGGATCTTCCTGTCATAGGCACCCCTCAGAGGTCTCCTTTTCATTTGTCTGATGCAAGGATTGGCTTGTCTGTGAAAGGTGTGCCATGTTAAGGGTTCAAACGGCCTAAGAGGCGGGGTGATGCTTTGCAGAGCCATGGATTTACTTATCGCCTTCCCCCTTGGTTGAATGCAAACCTGGATGGAGGTAGGGGTTTGACCCTTGCTGATCAAACCTAGTCCCAGGCATCTTTCTCTCCAGGGGGTCCTTCCCCCGGCCTTCCACAGCGGCTCCTCGCGCCTCGGGTTTGAGGGCACTTCTGCACGGAGGAATTGCTGTTCCAGGTACACCCGGGACGGGGTGGAGGGCAGGCACTGCAGGGTGCTGGGATCCACCCTGCAGATATCAGGATAGCTTTTTATCCTTGCTCCATCAGGGAAGGGGAAGCAGCAGCTAGAGTCGGGTAGCTCTGTCAAAATGACGGGGCCTTCCACAGAGTCTGCTCGCATCTAAAATGCACCAGGAGAACGAGGAAGGCTGATGAGCGAGGGTGGCTGGGTCTCGGCCGGTGGAAATCGGTGGCATGCTGTGGAAAGCCACACATCTCCCCTTCTTCAGAGGGCCTGGCCTGGTGACAGCAAAGAGCCCCAGGGTGTCTCCGGCCCGCCAAGTTGCTCTGGAAGGAGTCTTAACTGTGTGGAGAGCACTTCTTCATAGTTTCATAGTTTCTAGGGTCGGAAGGGACCTGAGCAGATCATCTAGTCCGACCCCCTGCCATGGCAGGAAGAGCACTGGGGTCAAATGACCCCAGTAAGGTGGTCATCCAACCTCCTCTTAAAAACCCCCAGGGTGGGAGCCTGCACCACCTCACTTGGAAGCTGGTTCCAGACTCTAGCCGCCCTGACCGTGAAGTAGCGCCTCCTGATGTCCAACTTAAACCTTCCCTCCGCCAGCTTCTTACATGGGACGGGAGGTGTTCGTTACGAAAGAAATAAACAGGTGTCTTATAATGACCTGGCCCCTCTTTTTTTTTTTCTTCTCCTCCCTTTTTCTCTCTCACTGTTTGGGTAGAGTCGTGCTAAGCCTGCTCATATTTGCCTTGTTTGGAAAGGTGCATGCAATTTTACCAGTGGAGGAGGTGGGCGGCAGTAACAGGTGGCAGGTGGGGCCGCAGTAAAACTTCCGGCACTGGCTTAATACCGATGAAGCTTTGAGATCCTGGGGTGAAAGGGAGTTTAAATGAAGCCTTGCGAAGGGCAAGGGTTTGGTCTGAGACCTGGGAGGAAGCTGGCATCGGTTCTTCGTCCCTCCGGCCCTATTCGCTCTGCTCTTTCAACAGCGTTTCGTTGCGTCGGCACGAACTCGGAGCAATAAATCTCTGACGCCGTCTTCTTACATCCATCGCTCTGCAGCGGCCCTGCAAACTCTTAAGCAATTAATGCTGAGGTCTACTGGCTGCCAATGAGGCATTTGCTTTGTCTAATCTTGCGTGGTGTTGATCATGATGGATTGCATTCTGTAAGCACCTTTTAAAAACTTTTCTCCTGTTGCAAAGGAGGATTTGGCTTCTGGCTAGACAGGGCTGGCTGCCGTCCACCCTGGGTGATTAATCTTTGATCTGTTGTGTCTCTTTGGGAATGAATTGGGACCTAATAGCTATTTAAGCTAGGAGATTGGTAAGTAATCTAACAGCTGAGAGGCTGCCATTAGGGAAGGGGTGGCTTGGTACCTTCAGGCAGCTGAAATTAGTTTGGTGGTATGGGCACCTGTATGTGAGTCTGCTTTTAGTGCCTGGCACCCATTGCAGTTCTCTTGCAAAAAAAGCACAGTTGCATGCATGAGGGGGCTGTGATGGTACTGAATAAATGTTCAACTTCGTTTTAAGTGAGCGAAGAGAGTGTCCGCACTGCTCTTCTGTGTCCTGGTGGAGGGAGGGATAGCAGGGAGCTCGTAGCAATGGCAAGGATCCTGTAGAGGGGGAAGACATGAACTAATTCTCATCTCCCCTTCATCTGTATGGGTCTGGCAGCTATACTGTGAATGAGGTAATTTGCTGATAGCACAGGCGGAAATTAAGGTAACTTGTGCTAGAGGCACCCGCGCGATGGAAAACGCTGATACAGGAGATCACTGCACTGACTTGTGCCTATATCAAGCACCTGGATAGCTGCCATGCTGCCTTGCCCACGGGGTACTAAAATAGTAGTCCTGTTGTTTCAAACACTGGGGAGCTGGGCAGTCTGGATGCTGCCGGGCTGCGGAAGACGACTTGCCTTGACCCGAGAGCAAGTGCGTCGGTGAATGCAGGGGGTTGGATTCAAACAACACATACCATACCTGGACTCCTGGTGGCCCCGGCAAATTTTAGTATTGGGCCCCCCCCTTTAGCCAGAGATGATGATGATGATGATAAAAATTACCATTTTTGGGCCTCTTTTGTGTCTGGGCTGCCTGGTTCACTCATGCCCTGAATCAACACATACAGAGATCAAATCCTTGCAAAGCTGGGGTGATTGCAAGAGGAGCTCCCAGACTGGGCCTGTTTCTCCCTAAATAATGTCCGTGCCTCTTATTCCCCTTCAAGTGTCCTGCGGGCTGGTCCACCGAGAGAGCAGGAGGCTGCTACGGCTGTCAGTAAAGGGTGTTGCTACTTCAGGGCAGCTCTTGGGGTACTTCGCTGCAGGAGCGGCTGGGTAGCAGCCCGTTACGAAGGACTGCGTTCGCTCTGTGACTGTCCTCTTCAGCTCCTCCGCCTTTGCAATGCTGCAGCCCCTTCCCCTTAGCACTGGGGGAAGGAGACCCCCTGTTAACAGAGCAGGGCAGCTTGTGCCTAGCTGAGCGCACCTGACCCCTACTCGTTACAGTCCAACACACAACGAGCCTTCTCTGTGACAGTGCAACCCGGAGCGGGAAGTGGCATAATGTTTGCCTTTAAAGAAGCAAATATCATACGTACTTGCATATCATGCACACCTCTCTCTTTAAAATTATCCGGAGCCGGGCTGCACGGAGGAGGGACCGAGGCTGCTGCTCAGCCAGAAGCTGGAGGTCTAACCTTCTCCAACCACTGACAACTTGGCAGAAGTTTTTAGCTGGGAGGGCGAGCGGTGCTGATAAATAGATTCTGCCCCTGCTCCGTGCAGCCAGGATTCAGCCTTGACGCTGGGGAAATCTTTTTCTTTTCTTACTCTGCCTTCCCTAAACAAGGTCCGTGTCTTATTCTGGGGTGGGAGGGTGATGTGCGAGACATTACGGTAGCCATTTCCTTCACTGCGATTAAATAGGAAGGGATGCTCCCAGGCCAGGTACTGGAAGGAGCCTGGTGCAGTAGTTCAGCCAAGGGCACGTGTGTACAACGCGCTCTGTCTGGGGCATGTTAGCAATGAGCTGATGAAGATGATCCGGTGGGTGTCTCTGACTGCTCTCCAGCATGGGGGTGAAGGGGGGGGCAGGAGTGCCTGGGGTCCCAGCTCTGGCTAGAGCTCACAGCTGCTGTGGTGTAGACATACCCCACGTCTCCTCGTGTCCGAGGTTGGGAAGTTGATGCAAACTGGGAATGGCTCCAAGGCGCAGGGGTTGGAAAAATCAGGAAATATTGCTGGAATTCTTCTGAAATTTCAAGGGAAAATGTTAATGCTTATTGACAGCTTTTTTGATGAGCTCTAGGGCTGCCTAAAAATGTTAGTCTCCAATATCCATCAGCAGATTTGGCTGGCGCCTTTGGACGGGGAGTGGAATTCTTGATGGGGAGGGAGGAATTTGCCAGACTGAGACTTCGGAGTTGAAAGCACACTCCCCTCTCCCTCTAGAGCCAAGCCGATGCCTGCAATCACTCCCGTATACCCGTCCTTCCAGCCGTCTGCCCTGTGTGTGCCGAAGAAAGGTGTTCGATCCTGTGTGGGTGTCCCGGGCTAGCTGGGGAAAGCCTCTGCTCTCGTACACAGGGCTGTGCACCAGTGAGAAGATGCTAACCTGGGGAAGTGGCCAGTAGGAGACGATGTAGAAAAATAATATCCCACCACTGACATATGGCAGACCTGAAGTATCCTTAGTGCTTAGACGAAGCTCGTCAGCGTAGTTGGAGTGCTCGAGGCAGGTTGCATCTCAGCCTGACGTCCTCTTTGGTTTAGGACCATCTCTGGTATGTTTGGAGCCAGCACCTGGCTCTCTGCCTCCTTGAATCTGGAGGTGTTTTATGGTTTAAGCCTCTCTGTGTGTTGGGATGCAAAAGAAAGTCCTCCTGAGTTTGTCAGCTCCTTTTGCAGGGAATGAATTTGTGTCTTGACGAAGCTCCCAGCGCCCATAATGACTGAAACCACGCGGATGTCCAGGGTCCGTCTGGTGCTGGTGCGAATGGAGCTGGCCATCCCCTGGTCAGTGAGTGAAGAACAGACATCTCCTGACATTGCTGCCCCCTCTTCTGGTTTTTTATTCTCCTGCTGGCTGTAATGGAGATTTAGGAGCACAGGGGGGCACTCTCGCTATGGCTTTCAAACCCTCGCTGTCCATGAAAAGAGGAAATTCTTGGTGTGCTTTTTGGTGGAGGTGGCTGTGCATTGCTGAGTCTCAATGGGCATTTTCTTCTTTCTAATTTTCCTCAGCGAGGCAGGGAGGGAGAAGTCTCCAAATAAAAAGTGGGAAGATTTTCTTCTGCACGTGGGGAAGGAACGGCAGCTTCAGCACCGAGACTCCCTGGGGGCAGCAAGTGAGGTCAAGCCGTGGCCTGCGTCTGCACACGGCCAAGTACCCCGTGCAGAGAGCTTCACCTAGCGAAACACGGATGCTACCCTGAGCCCTTTCCAAAAAAAGCCTGTTGGTTGTCTTCCCTTTGAAGCTTCAACCTCTTCCCTCTCCTGGGAGGCGTCATCTTGAGGAGATGGGTCAAAAAGCTCAGCAGTCTTAGCAGAGAAGCCTGCGCGCTCAATTTAAAAGCGAAAAAGAAAACGGAGACAGTCGAGTTTAATTGTTCAACTCCTGTGCTTTGCAGAAGCTGTCCTGTGCTATTTTTGCTCAAGTGCTACACTTGAGGGGCTGTAGACGGACATGCTGTACCAGGTAGATGCTGCAAAGTTGCAGACACTACGAGGGATCTCAAGATCACTTGTCTTTTCAAATCCTTTTTTTTTACTTGTGTCCCTTCCCCGAGCTCGCGCACACAGTGCCTGGCAGATGCAAAAGCTGAACACCCTGATGCCCAACCCATGTTTCCTGCCTGCACATGTTCGTGATGGGTGTGCATGCACATCGCA